TAAAACCACATATTGAAATGTCTCTGATATTCTCCTTGCTCATGATTAAAGTAATCATTATCTTTATAAGGAACAACAGAGACAAATCTTTACTGTGCTTTGTTGTGCTTATTGTTTTATTATAGTAACTTAGGCTTGTAGGCCTATTATGAAATAAAAGTTATTCTCAGGTTATAAATGAGGAAATGGAGACACTGGAGGATAGACAACTGACTATGATTTAACTCCTAGGATATAGTCTTTGTAGGTCCTGGCAGGCCTGGGAGGGGGGGGTGCGGCAGGGGAAGGAGGGCTGAGAAACCCATGAAGAACCTGTGCAGTCATCACAATTTGCCAGGAGCAAACTTTAACCCAGCAGAGGTAATTAGCTGCTTTCTTCAGAGCACAACTTTTCTCAGGGAAGGTCACAGAATGTCTTGCCCTAAGGTGGGGTTATATGCCAAGTAGAAGTAAGCTTCTGGGTCTTGATTTTCTGCTGTCATATGGTGAAATTCTCTATTCTAGTGAGCTGCAGGAATGGATGCTTTGGTCCCTGGAAACCCTGGAGGGCATGCCTGTTTAGTTTCAAACTGTGGTCACAGGAATCCAATTCCTCTGCAGGCCTCATTCCAGATATATGCAAGAGGAGACTGGCCTGGTCTAGCTTTGGGTTCTACTACTTACCATCCTGGCAACTTTGAGTAACTTATACAATCTCTGTACATGTCAGGTTCTCAACTGTAGAATGGGGATTTTTATCAAGGTGATTGTGAATGAGAGACAGCAAAATATGTAACACACAGTAAATACTCAGAAGAGACAAACTAATAGTCAGGCTTCAAAGATTGCTTTCAATTCCACTTGTAATTGACTTATCTTACTGTTTCCCAGTGACTAGCAAGGATGCTGGTAAGTCCTTCAAAGTATTCCCTAAAGTTTTCACACACATCTCACTGGCAAAGAAAGTTTGATAACTAAATGTAGTTCACAATTGAGGGTCCTGGAAGGAAGGTCTACTAGGCCTAAGCTACCCTGTGTGCTTTGAGCATTATAAGATTATAACTGCTGCTTATAAAGGACCAGCCAAGGAAAGTCCTTACCTATTTAATAATGTCTTAGCATCTGCCTTTGTGTGTGTGCTAGTATTGGGGCTTGATTTCAGGGCCTGAGGGTTTTTTATTAGTTTTGAGGTTTTTTTGCACCTAACTATTGTTTCTCTTTTAATGATATTTCTCAGCTCTAAAACTATAAATCAATATTTCTTTTTTTCTTCTTCTTCTTTCTTTTGCTTTGTGTAAGTCCTGGAGCTTGAATTCAGGGCCTACATTGTTCCTGAGTTGTTTTTTATTTTTCCTCCAGGCTAGCACTCTACCACTTCTGGCTTTTTGGGTGGTGAATTGGGGATTAGAGTCTCATGGAATTTCCTGTCTTCACTGGCTTTCAGATCCTCAGACCTCAGCCTCCTGAGTAGTTAAGATTACAGGCCACAAGTGCAGTGCAGAACAATATTTCTTAAACTGTCATGTGCTCAGAATCTTTAGGAAACCTTGTAAAATATGGATACTTCTACCTTTTATTGGTACTCATCCTTATTCTGAAGCTGATGGTCTTTAGAACACCTTGCTGTTTCAAAGGACTAGTTGACTAGCAAGTCTTTTGTGATGCTGTCCATGAGAAAAACAACAACAACAACAAACAAATATACTCCATGCAGCAGAGGAGCAAGTTGCTCCTGAATTGTTCTGAGAGCCTCTCTTAATCTATGTACTTTAAAGTACAGATATGTTTTCTTTTGTTGATTGTGGTGCTTGAACTCAGAACCCGGGCACTGTCCCTTAGCTTTTTCACTCAAGGCTTGTGCTCTACTACATTGAGCCACTGCCCCACTTCTGGTTTTTGGGTAGTTAATTGGAGATAAAAGTCTCATGGACTTTGCTACCTAGGCTAGCTTTGAACCATTGTCCTCAGATCTTAGCCTTCTGAGTAGCTAGGATTATAGGCATGAGCCACCCGCACCCAGCGAAAGTATTGTTTTATTCGGTCTATCATAGCTTAGAAACACTGAGATTCATAAATAAGCTTGAGAGAAAAGAACTACACTGATTTCCCTCACCAGTTCTGATCACTGGGCTGTGATTGATTGGCTATCCAATAAGTAATTTGTCTTTGGCCTGAATGAGGGAGGAGGAAAAGAGAAAGAGGCCTGGGGAAAAGCAGTTGATAACAGGTAGATTGCCCCCATCTAAAGTGTGGGGAGGTAAAGGTAGCCCAAGAGAACTGAAGCTAAGTTTTTCCATCACACACCTAAAGGCCCATGTACTGTCCCACGAAGATATGACTGAAAGCTCCTAGAATGTGGTCATAGGTCTTGGGTAAACCAATGGACCCTTTATTCATTTCAATGAATAGATGGCATCCAAAAACAGTTGGAGCAAAACAAATTACAGAGTACATCAACAAAAAGAAACTAAGAAGCTTGCTTTTGAGGGTAGCTTAGCACTGTCTTTTCTGAGTTTAAATATTAAGGGATACTTTTTGTTAATTATTAAAACTATAGTGATTGATTTCAAGGGGCTCAGTGAGCATTTAATCTGTTCTTACAGTGTGCTAGAAGAGCACCCTGCTTCATGCTGCAGGAGAGACTTGAGTAACTAGTTAATGAAGCTTTAATTTCATGTTGTTGTCTTAAATAATTGTAATTTGGACTGTGTTGGAAGCTGATGGTATATTTTCAGTCATCTTTTGAGGCAACTGTTATTGCCTTGCTCTAATTGATCAGATAGTTAAGAGAAGGTAAACGCAGGAGTGATTTAAGATGAAAGAAGGTGGATAATGTTTATTAAAATTACAATAAAATAATCTATTACTTTTCAAATGAAAGTGAATATGGAAATTATCTGCTTTCATATTTTCATTGCGCAGGCAAGAAAACTAGTACCTATAGGAACAAAAGGAGTTGGCCAAAGGCGTTCAGCTTGTTTCTTTTGTTTGACTGGAAAAGATGGCAGGATGCTGTGGCTCTGCTCTGGTAGTAGTGTCTCTCTGGTCTCACTTACTTCCCAACCTTTGTAATCTTGGTTCACAGATTACAGGAAGTACTTCCTGTTCTCTAAAGTTTAAAGGTGTGTAAATGTAAAGCTTTTAAAAATGAGTTACCCTAGGCCAGGCGGTATCTGTTTAAGTAAGGAGCTCAAAGTGTGGTGGAGACAGAGAAATTCAACGTCTAATCTAAGGAAAGAAACCCAGGACAGGAAATGATAAACCCTCCAGCATTCCTCCCGCAGCCTAGAGTTCAGGGCCCAGAGCCACCCTACCCTGTGGCATTAGCTTGTAACTCCAGAGCAGAGACTATGATTCACTGCAAGGCTTTGGGCAAGTCTCTTTAACCTGCTGTCCTTCCTTTTTGGTCTTTGTCAAACTGAGATAGAACTGATAGTTCCCTTACAGCTCCATCCCAGGCTGCGTGGGAAATGAGTTCCTGTTTGAGAAGATTTGAAAGCCACCACCACGTTCCACCTCCCTGCTAATAAGATTACTAGCACTTTTTTTTAGTTAAAGGACCAATTCTTTATTCCCTCTCTTCTTTTAAAAGCAGAGCAAAGAGCATCTTTTCTTGGCTCTATGTGGCCTACAAGGTGATTGCTTCTAAGGTTGTTACCTTTGTGTGTGTGTGTGTGTGTGTACATGCACACACGTGCCTGCTGTAGGGCTTGAATTCAGGGCTTGGTTGCTTTCCCTTGGCTTTTTCACTAAAGGCAAATGCTCTACCGCTTCAGCCACAGCTCCACTTTCAGATTTTGGGTGGTTAATTGGGGATGACTCTTTCCTGCCTGGTCTGGCTTCAAACTGAAATCCTCAGTTCTCAGCTTCATGAGTAGCTTGGATTATAGGCCTGAGCCACCAGTACCTGCCTGGCTGGTTGTTATTTTGGAAGATCAACTTGTTGAGATGATGAGGAAATCTTAGGTACACCACAAACACAGAGACAACAGTGACAAAAATAACTGCCATGGAAGTGCTTGAGAGAGCTTTTGAACCCCCCCCCCCCACACACACACACCACTTTTCTAACTGTAAAAGCATGGCCCAGCCTGTCTGCAAGTCACTTCTGTCCTCTACAAAGGTTAGGCTGGGGAGAAGGGAAGGAAGCACATCAGATGGGGTGGAGTTACTGAGGGTTACTACTGAGTTAGCCGTTCTGTAAAAAGCAAGCAAAAAGATGTTTTAAGAAGGAAAGACACCTTTTAGGAGCTCATCTGGGGTGCACAGCCTGTTTCCCAACGTTTGGGAATCCTTTAACAGTTTATGGAAGGCCACCCTTTAAACCAATCCAACAGCTCCTTTCTCCATAACCTGATTTTAGAGGTGTTTCATTATCTCTAATTACTCGGGGTAACTGGTGATTACTCAGTGTTTTAATCATCAGTTTGGGCAGCAGTTACTCTAAACCCAGGGAAGCCCAGACTCCCATGGGTATTTTTGGAAGGTTCAGCGACTAGTCGGTGCATGCTTTTTTAGTACCTCTGCACGTGGTGCGCAGGTGAGCCCCGGCTGCCTCCACCGGGCTGGCGGTGGAGAGGTCCCAGCCCAGGCTGCCTCGGCAGGCTGGCTGGGACGCTGTGCGAGCTTCCGGGACCTGGGCCTGCCAGGCAAGGCGAGGCCCGGCGGCTGGGTGGGAGGATGTGGGCGGGGCTCCCATCTCCAGAAAGGGAGGCGAGTGAGGGAGGAGGGCAGAAGGGAGGGGCTGCTGGGGAAGAGGAGGAGGAAGGAAAGAAAGAAAGAAAGAAAGAAAGAGAGAAAGAGAGAGGGAGGGAAAGAGAAGGAAGGAGTAGATGCGGAGGGCAGAGGGTAGGAAGGAGAGGCGCGCGGAGCGCAGAGCCGGCCCGGAAACTAGGTGTGTTGGGGCATCCGAGCCGAGGGGACCAGAGCCTGGGACGCCACTGAGGCCCGGCCTGACTAACTTGCCGGTGTCCCTGATGGGATTCGTGTCCGAGCCGTCTCGAGCCTGCAGCGACCCATTCCCCGGCCCTCGCCCAGGTTTCCCGGAGCTGCTGCTGGCGAGCCCGCTACCGCTGGGATCTATGGTGAGCGAGACTACCTGACCACCCGCACCAGTCCCGAGACGCATCCTTAGGGGAAGAAGTTGGGGGGAGAGGGATTAGTCTACAACTGGGGGGGAAAGGTGGCCCATTTTCTCCCCAGTAGCGCTACGGGAGGTGGGGGATACTGGCTCTGAAAGACCCCTCCAGATCGCCTACTACTGCCTCCTCTATCCAAACCTTTTTGGTCCGATGGCCCCGGACGAGTTCCACTTTGGGAAGGCGCAGAAACACGAGAGGCGGAAAGGAGGGGAAGTCCTTGGCCAAAGACTTGTGTGGCTGAACACGTTGCCCGTGGGCTGGAGGTGGCGATCTCCTGGACGGGAAAAGCAGGAGTGGGAGGGAGTAGGCTCTGAGTTCTGTACAGAGGGAGGGGGCAGAGGGACCGCGACTTAGAGAGAGCACTTGGCCAGCGCTGGCTCCGCGGCCGAGCGCGCAGTCCTGCTGCGGTCCTGCCCAGCGCGCGCGCCGCTCGCGGGGCTACGTCGAGGGCTGGCTTTGCACCCCTGGGTCTTGTGAACCACAGCTGCAGAACGCGCCTTCTCCACGAGCTATTTTCTTAGACTTGGGGGGCGGGAGAGGCACCCAAGGACCGTCCTCTTTTATCATTTCATGGTGCAAGGTTCTAGGTACAACGGTTAGGATGCCGGGGCCATCCAATGGCCCTTTTCGGTTGAGTTGTATCCTACTGGGAGTCGCTATGCGGGACGCGGCTCTGCCAGGCCCTCCGCGCTCAGAACCGACGTGAAACAGGGTCTTGGGATCGCCGCGACCCCGCTCACCTCTTCACGCAAAGGGCTTCTGACGCCCTATGGGACACCGCATGGGTGGAGGGTTTGCGTCGCGCTTGATGAGTTGGGGAGATTTGGTGAGATGTTTAAAAGCCCCAAAGGTATACATTTGGCACACTGAGGCTACCGCAGTTTAGGGAGAAGGTTTAGGTGGGGGAAAAAGAAGGATAACCGCCACAAATTGCGTTCCTATCCCCTAAGAAAAGTTCATTTTGGGCTTTCGTCTTTTTAACTTAAAAAGTCTGCCAAGGAAAACGTGCTTAGAGATGAATCCTAGTGACTCGGAAATCGAAACACCATCCTCGACGACCCCCCCCCCATCATCCCCCAGTCACTTGATTTTTAACGCTGGCGAACCCTCCCGCCACCGACCGCCCGGGGAGACTGGGGAGCTCAGCTTTGTCCCGGCTCCCCGGCGTGCGCTCCTCTCCATGTTTCCCCGCCCCGCGTGCACCAGCGCGCCTCCGTCTCTCTTTCTCACTTTGGAGGGGTCCCCGAGTTTATATTTTCCTCCGATATTATTTGTTTTTCTATAGGATTCTTGGCTTTTCACACACACACACACATACACACACACACACACACACACACACACACACAGTTTGCGTTCTCCAGCCCTTTCCCACTTCTCCCCCACGGTGGCGCGGGTTAGGAAAGCCGCTCTGGGCGGACCGACCGTCGCGCCGCGGCGCCCGAGGCCTCCGCACCTGGGTCCGCGGGTCTCGGGTGGCGTCGGCCACGAAGGAGGGTAGAACGGATCCATCCTTTCCTTTACCAAGCCTCTGCCTTCGTGGCTTCCCGCAAGCGTCCGGAAAGGAAAGGGAGACTGGATGGGATGGGTTCTGGGCGGGAATCCTGGGGATCGAGTTCCCCGGAGCGATTTGGCGCTGAGACCCAGGCTGAACGCTGAGCTGCGCCTGCTCAGGTTTTGGAACAGGCCTCAGCGATCCACGCGTGCGGCACCTTCGGCGAAAGGTCAAGTCACCCAAGTAATTGCTTGAGCTCTGGCCTGATTTTAAAAAAAAAGTCTCGCAGGAATATTTGCTGCGACGCCGCAGCTGGTGCAAAGGAGGAAAGGGGTGTTGGGGAGGGGGGGGAGGAAGTGGCGGGGGTGAGTGGGGTGATGTAAAAAAATAAGTCAAGCCTGGGTTAAAAGAGACTGACGCGGAGGTCGAGTGCAGGCCGAAAGCTGTTCCCGGTTTTGTGGACTTTGGGGAACGTGTTGGGCCGATCTGGAGTTGTAAACCCCTGGCGACCTTAAGATAGGAAAAATACGATGCGCCCTTTCTTAGGCGACGCCTCTTTCGGAATGTGTCCGGAGTTTGGGGACCTGGCGCCCTCAGCTCCTCCCTGCCTGCAGGGCGACCGGTTTCTCGCGAATTTGCTTTGCTTGGAAGGGGTGGAAGTGGGGTACCCAGCGGCCGATGCCCGGCCAGGATTCTCCGTCTCGGTACCGGAGAAATAACTCTAGAAGCCGCTCCCTCTTAAGCCTCCACATGGACCACAGCCTGGCCTGAGAGTCTCCCTTCTCCCGGCCTCGTTTGTGACATGGTCAGCCACTTGGGGCTGGAAGCTAAATCCGCTGTCCAACTCCTCTCTGAGCCCTCGCCGGGATTGGCTGCCTGGCCCTGGGAGCAGGGTTTGGCCTCGGGGAGACCCAGGGGAGGAAGTGTCGGGGTGTGCATGTGTGTTTGCATATGCGTGTGTGTGTGCGTGCGTGCGCGCGCGCGGGTGTGCTAGGTCCCTCGGCGTTTTCCTTCTCCAGTGCCTCTCGGTGGTGAGGCTCTGGGGCAGTGAAGACTCGTCCTCCCTCCACACACACTCCCCCCTCTCCCGCCGCGCCCCGCACCGGCTCCGGCCCCGGCCCCGGGTCCCACTGAAGTGGTGTTGGCGCTGCTTTGCATGGCTCATCCCCTGCCCTGCGCCCCAGACCCTCGGGCTGCAGGCCGCTAGTGCCAGGGTCCGGCCCGACGCAACGCAGGTAGAGGGGAGCACCGGGTCCCCGGCGCGCGCTGGCGCCCGCGGCGGGGCGCCGGCCCCCGGGCCCGGCCCGGCGGAGCGCGGCGGGGGGACTCCTCCCAGACCGCCGAGACTCCGGCGGCGGGCGCTGGGGTTGGCCTCGCCTGGAGGGGCGGGTCTCGAGTCTGGGCCGAAGTGGGAGGAGGGGTAGGGGGGAGGGCGGGGCTTCTGCGTCCACGTGATTCCGAGGGGCTGGAAGAAAAACAGAGCCTGTCTGCGCCGGAGTCTCATTATATTCAAATATTCATTTTAGGAGCCATTCCGTAGTGCCATTCCGAGCAACGCGCTGCCGCAGCTTCTCTGAGCCTTTCCAGCAAGTTTGTTCAAGATTGGCTGTCAAGAATCATGGACTGTTATTATATGCCTTGTTTTCTGTCAGTGAGTAGACACCTCTTCCTATCTCCCCCCCCCCCCCCCCCCGGAATTCACTCTGCCCTCCCCATCCCCGGTCCCCGGGGGTCCCTCCCGTCGGATCACCCTTCCAGCGTCCGCGCTCCGCTGTCCCGCAGCGCTGTTGCTCTGCGTTCAAGGCCCCAGAGCCTCGGGTGCTCGAAGCGTGCCGGTTCCTTTTAAAGTGCTGCCCTCTCCGACCTGGTGTGTTTCGGGAAAGTCGGGCTCCTAGGGACTGGAGACGTGAACGGTCCGCAGCCCCGGGTGGTGCTTGGTTAACCCTTCCCTTCCCCTGTCCGGCTGCTGGTCGGCGGAGAGCCCAACGCCTCCGGGGCTTGGGGAACTCTTGTCAAAACGGAGTTGCCTCGGGAACCTTCCAAATGAGAGTTGAGAGCGCGGGCGCGAACTGGTGCTTTTAACTGAGCGTGTCCAACTCGTCGGCCACAAGTCAATAAGCCTTAAAACCAGCCCGAGAGCCCTCACCCCCAGCCCCCCGACTCCTTGCTCGACCCCTGGACCCCGCCGCCCCAGTCTTCGCCCGGTCCCTGCCTCGCTGCCTCGCTGCGTTCCCTCCCTCCTGCTCCCAAGCAGTTGAAAGTTGTGGAAGTTGGGCTGTGAGGGTGGAGGGAGGAGGGGGGAGGGATGGAGAAAGAGGGGGAAAGGTTGAAGGTCTGAAGTGGAGAGCGGTGGCATTTTAATCCCCCCCCTCCTCCTTGCTTTTTACCACCTCAATGTTAACTGTTTATCCCTGGAGAAGCCACTCTGAGATCACCGGCTCTGATAGCAGCTGAGACAAAAAAGGAAGAAAAAAAAAGATTCACAGGATGGAGGCTATCTGATTTGGGGTTATTTGACTGTAAACAAGTTAGACCAAGTAATTACAGGGCGATGGTGACTTTCAAGCCGTGCGTGGCTGCTGCTGCTGCGGCTGCTGCTGGTGGCGGTGGTGGTTGGTGGATGCCAGGCAGAAAACACAAACTTGATCTTCCCGGGCCCGGGGTTTCTTCTCCACCCTCCATTACCAGCCCTAGACGCAGAGGCATCCCCTCCCTTTCTCTCTATTTGTTGGTGTTTATTTATTCTTTAACCTTCCCCCCCCCCACTCCCCAGAGACACCATGATTCCTGGTAACCGAATGCTGATGGTCGTTTTATTATGCCAAGTCCTGCTGGGAGGCGAGAGCCATGCTAGTTTGATACCTGAGACCGGGAAGAAAAAAGTCGCCGAGATTCAGGGCCACGCGGGAGGACGCCGCTCCGGGCAGAGCCATGAGCTCCTGCGGGACTTCGAGGCCACACTGCTGCAGATGTTCGGGCTGCGCCGCCGCCCGCAGCCCAGCAAGAGCGCAGTTATTCCGGATTACATGCGGGATCTTTACCGGCTCCAGTCTGGGGAGGAGGAGGAGGAAGAGCAGATCCCGGGCACGGGTTTGGAGTACCCTGAACGCCCCGCCAGCCGGGCCAACACCGTGAGGAGTTTCCACCACGAAGGTCAGTCCCAGCCCCAGGTCCGGGGGAGTGGGGGGGTAGGGTGAGGATGGGGGGGGGCGGGCAGTGGGGCCGTGGAAGCCCTGGGGAAGAGGAGTTCAGGTTACATCAAAGCCTCGAATCCCGGAGGCAGAGGAACAGAGCCATTTACCTCCAAGAATTTCCAGAGCTGCCTCTGAACTTGTTTTCTGGAGACAGAGGGGGAGCTGCTGGCGAGCTGGGTAGCGGCATGGCTCAGGAGCAGACTCGGGCTAGCCCCAGTGGTGTGTTGCTGCTGTATCAAAGCTTTTTTTTATTATTTAATTTAAAAAAATTTTCCCCCTGCCGGGTTTTCTGCCCATTTTGTTCAAAGCACCTACTGAACTTAATATTACAGCTGTGTGTTTGTCAAGGTTTATTCAATAGGGGCCTTGTAATCTGATCTGAATATTTCCTAGCGGATGTTTCTTTTCCAAAGTAAATCTGAGTTATTAATCCACCAGCATCATTACTGTGTTGGAATTTATTCTCCCCTCTGTAACTTGATCAACAAGGCATACTCTGTGTTTCCAAGGTCACTGGGGAAATGTTTAGTAACACACTGGAGAAAGTAGAAGGAGGGCTGGAGGGTGTGTGTGTGTGTGTGTGTGTGTGTGTGTACATGTGTACGTGTGTACACATGCAAGTGGGTTTTCTTCTGCCTCCACTCTGTTGGTCCCTTTTTTTCTTTACAACTACTTGTAAAGAAAACTGTGTACACAAAGCTAAAAGAGGATTTTAAAAAGGGGAGATTTTAAAAAGGAGTTGACACATGGAAATTATTACACACACACACACACACACACACACACACAGGAGTTTGGGAGATACTTTCTGTCTTTACTGCTTGACAAATGCTAGTTAAAATTTGCTGCTTCACTAGCTATTCCATTCTCTGCTCCTTCCAATGAAAAAGTCCACTTATGTTCTCCTAATTGAAATACAATATATAAGCAGTTGCCATATATAGCCACATATAACCACTCAGTTGTCCAGTTCAGCTACTTCTTGACTTTCCATCTCTTTCCATGAATGTTCATGTGCTTTTTCTTTTCCCTTCCCTTCCCAACGGTGCCTAGAACATCTGGAGAGCATCCCAGGGTCCAGCGAGAACTTGGCTTTTCGTTTCCTCTTCAACCTCAGCAGCATCCCGGAAGATGAGGTGGTCTCCTCCGCAGAGCTTCGGCTCTTCCGAGAGCAGGTGGACCAGGGCCCTGATTGGGAGCAAGGCTTCCACCGAATAAACGTTTATGAGGTTATGAAGCCCCCAGAGGAAGTGGTGCCTGGGCACCTCATCACACGACTACTGGACACCAGACTGGTCCACCACAATGTGACACGGTGGGAAACTTTTGATGTGAGCCCTGCGGTCCTTCGCTGGACCCAAGAAAAGCAGCCCAACCATGGACTGGCTATTGAGGTGGTTCACCTCCATCAGACACGGACCTACCAGGGCCAGCATGTCAGGATTAGCCGATCGTTACCTCAAGGAAGTGGGGATTGGGGCCAGCTTCGGCCCCTCCTGGTCACTTTTGGCCATGATGGCCGGGGCCATGCCTTGACCCGACGTCGGAGGGCCAAGCGGAGCTCTAAGCATCACCCACAGCGGTCTAGGAAGAAGAATAAGAACTGCCGGCGCCACTCACTCTATGTGGACTTCAGTGATGTGGGCTGGAATGACTGGATTGTGGCCCCGCCGGGATACCAGGCCTTCTACTGTCATGGAGACTGCCCCTTCCCACTGGCAGACCACCTCAACTCAACCAACCATGCCATCGTGCAGACCTTGGTCAACTCTGTCAATTCCAGTATCCCTAAGGCCTGTTGTGTACCCACTGAACTGAGCGCCATCTCCATGCTGTACCTGGATGAGTATGACAAGGTGGTGCTGAAAAATTATCAGGAGATGGTGGTAGAGGGATGTGGGTGTCGCTGAAGTCCAGTCATTCTGGAGGATAGACAGACAGACAGACAGACACACACACACACACACACATACATGTTCCCATCCACCCGCCCACCTACCTACACACTACACAGACTGCTTTCTTATAGCTGGACTTTTATCTTTAAAAAAAAAAAGAAAGGAAAAAAAAACCCTAGATGTTCACCTTGACCTTATTTATGACTTTACGTGCAAATGTTTTGACCATATTGATCATATATTTTGACAAAATATATTTATAACTACGTATTAAAATAAAAATAAAATGAGTCATTATTTTAAAGGTAAATGATGGCCTTTTTCTCTTTAATCTTGTTTCTTCTGTCCTGTCCCTTTTGAGGGAGGTGGTTTCCTGCTGAGGTAAGACTGGAGTGGACTGGAAGGCAGAAGGTGATAAGTGGAGATGGGCAATTGACTGATGGCAGAGAGAGATGGTAATGGCCAGGATGAATTGTTTTCCATTTCTAGTGAATGTTAACAAGGACACAGCACCCTCTCCCATCTGGATGACCCAAGCCTTGGAGAAACACTGGGATGAAAGGTGTGAGCTGGGCTTCTTGCACAGATCTTTTGGTTCACCGGTTAGAGGTGTGTCACAGCTAAGTAATGTAGAGGTCTGGACTCCCAAGAAATTGATTCCCACTTACGCCAGTTTTTTTTTTAAAACTAGAACCTTAAATTTACTAAGTTGGCACTCTACAACTTGAGCCACACCTCTAGCCCTATGTTTTGCTGATTATTTTGGAAATGGAAACTAGTGGATTTTTCTGCATGGATTGACTTTGAATCAAGATTCTCCAGATCTCAGCCTCCTAGAATTACTTATATATGTAAGCCATCAGTTTGGGGCCCGCTTTCTTTTATCTTTGAGAGACTACCTACTATCCAGTGTCTCCAGCTATGATAGGTTGGTGTTAAAGCCAGAATGAATTCATAACTCACACACTAATGTTTGTGTTCGCTTCAGTTAAAAAATAATCTTTTGTTTTTCAAGAATTGGGTTTGATCACCATTTTGATAGAACACATGGTTGGATTCTGCAGTGTTTCTTGGCTATTCTCCTTTGCCCTTTACCACCCCCCTTAAGGTTTCCATCAAATTCAAAATCCCAACAGATTGTGCTGATTTGGGGATAAGGGAGGGGCAGGCAATGAGGCCAGGCAGTGAAGGGGCAGAATGTGTGGGCACTGTGAAGTGTTCTGCTTATTTCATGCAATCATGAGTCAAATGCTCTCCATTTTCTTGCTCTCTCTCCCACTCACCTTTCTCTGGAGCTGGGCAGAATATGATATACCTGATGGAGCTTCTCTTGTTTGAGCCAAGGTTTCTTGGAGGAGCAATGTTCCATTTGGCCACAGTGACAAAACGATGATGATGGGACTCTAGGTCAAGGACAGAGTAATGGCTTTCTGGATGTGAGTGTAGGAGTTAAAAGGACCAAAGGAGAAGCCTTTGTTTTTCTTTAGCAGACGCAACTAAATTCAGCCTGGATTCTGGCCTGTTCAGGCTCATTTCTTATTTCTTTTTTTTTCTTTCTTATTTTACTGGTACTGAGACTTGAACTCAGAGCTTGAGTGCTATCCCTTAACATTTTTACTCAAGGCTGGCAGCCTACCTCTTGAACCATACCTCCTCTCCCAGCTTTTTGGGCATTAACTGGAGGTAAGAGTCTCACAGACCTTTCCTATCTGGGCTGATTTGGCACCATGATCTTTAGATCATAGCTTCCCAAGTAGCTAGAATATAGGCATGAGCTACCAAAGTCTGGCTTCAAACTCATTTCTTATGTGCTCTTTTATTTTTTTATTTTAAACATAGAGTTGGATGGGTCAGAATGGCCAGTGTCTTCCTAGAGTCGTTTGGTGAGGAGTGGTACGGGTGTATCTCTCCATCTTGAAGGTGTAGAAATGAGTGGTAATGATAGTATTGCTGTTGCAGGTGTGTGTGTGTGTGTGTGTGTGTGTGTGTGTGTACGCACGCGCGCATCCAGAGAGAATGTGGTAGGCACACACCTGGCATTTGTGCTTTTCTGTGTGTGATTCTTGTACACATGGTCTTACATATGCTTTTGGGATGGAGTGAGTGAAGCAAGATTCATTTTTGTTTTTAATTACTGAAGTTCTACAATCTTCCAAAAGGAGCAGCTTAGTGAAAACCAATAAAAATAGAAGTGGGGTGGTTGCCAAAAGCCCCAGCTCCCTGGAGAGCACAGGTGGAGAGAGGAGATCAGAGCCCCAGGCAAAAGCAGCAAGACTCCAAACTCCCTGCAAAGAGAGATCTTTCCCCCCTTCTTCAGCCCCCCAGGTCGCTGCCCCTTTGATTAATGGTATGGAGCTTGAATAAATCATTTAGAGTAAGCCCATTAGGGGTTTCCTTCAGGCAGCTTCATTTTGTTTTGCCCAATTTCTAGCAACTTTTCGAAATATGTCGTCAAAAAAAAAAAAAAAAGCCCAGTTCTGGAACCAAGGATCCTGGGCTGTCCTGAGGCCGGTGGCTGTCCAACTCAGGTCACTTTCTAGCAACCACTTCCCTTGCCTGCCTTCCCCTCCTCCCTTCCCCTGGCTTATTTTCAGGAATGGATAATGTTGTTTATTTGTTCAGCCAAATATTTGGTCTGGGGAATTTACCGTGAAATTCTGTGAATTGCATATACCTAGTTAACAAAATAGTGGTAATGTCACAAATGTTAGCAGGAAAAACAATGAACTATGGCCAGCTTTAACTCTTTAAATTCTATTTGCAAGCTTCGTGCTGAGAACCAGGGAGATAAGGAATTGCCTGGGCGTGGAGATTAATTAAGCCAGGTTTTAATAGTCTCTGCTTTAGGTTGGGCCCACGGCCTTATGAAGTCCCCTGCTTGTGTGGCTTCAGGATCTAGCCTGAAACTCCCCCCCCACCTTTTTTTTTTTATTTAAAGAAGAAGAAGGAAAAAAGAAATCCCCAGAGTAATGTTCCCATTACTTAAAGAAAAATGGAGAAGGAGAATCGCCCTTGAGGAGGTCTGTGAAATCGTAACCACATCAGAAAAGCTGCTTGGTAGGTAGATCCCTGCCCAATCCTTAAACTGGAACCGGCTTCCTAGGCGCAGAAGTGTGGCGGGGGCAGGTCGGGTGGGGGGGCGCGGCTAGCATTCCCTGCTTTCGTTGCATAATGCGCTCAGAACCTGCCAGGTGACCTGCTGACTTTGTTTTCGGTCTGGACAGAATTCATTCCATCACTTCCAACAACCCCCCCCCCTTCACCTCCCCCTCTTGCGGGCCAGCCGCGCGGCTCGGCCTGAACTGTGCGCGGCCACGGCGCTGGCAGACCCCAGTAATCACAGTCTTGGACGAACTTCAAGATCCTCCCTCCGGCGGGGTCCCAGCGCCCCCAGGCTGGGGGTGGGGTGGGGTGGGGGGCTGAGCAGTGCAGGTTGTTACGGAGTGTGCAGGGGCGCGTCCTTCCCACTCCTGCCGGGGACCGGCGGGGACCATGCACCTGGCGGCAGTGCTCATGCGCCCCCAGCCAGGCCGACTGCAGAGTCAGGTTCCCCCACTGGAGCTGATGGTCCGCCCAGCTCATCCACCCTGGAGAGCCCGCGCCCAGGTGAAACTGCAGACAGACCCATCTAATTATCCGGGCCTGGACCGTTGCTGTTCGTATTTAATGGGGTCAAATGGGCGCACAAAGTAGGCAGATGGGAAGGCTTGCCGGGGGAGGAGGGGTGGTGATCTTTAGGGGATTTCGGGGGTGGGGTGAGGGGAGTCTCTTGCCACTGAGCTCTGGATGGGCCTGCATATTGGAGTGACTGAATGGGGGATCTGGGGGCTCATGCAGTGGGAACAAACTTATGGGCTGAAGACTGACCAGCAGGTAGGCCCTGAATGAAGGCCAGTCCTCCCTCTCAGCTTCCTTGGGGATACACAGAACACGGGCCTGGAATGGATCGCCACATGGAGCCTCTCCTTCCCCTGCCCCCTTTCCAAATGTGGGGGGTGGGAGCAGCAGAATAGAAGAGACTGTGGGACTGTGGTGTGCAGGAATAGAGCCGCCCCATTTCTTTGAGAAAGGATATACCAAGCCCTTACTACATCATGAGGGTACCCCAGCTCACCTCTAGGCCCCGGGACTTCGCAGCCTCAAGGCTTCCCCTCTGAAGGTGAGCCTAGACAAAGAGAAAAGTTTATCTGAGGCCAAGGTCTTTAAACTGTTTGTCCCCAATGCTAGGTCTTCTGTCTCCACACAAAGCAAATTTTATAAACTCTTCACACAGCCTCTTGTCAAAATGAATATGTATGTGCATATATACATATACAGGGCTGGGATGTATGTGCATATATACATATACAGGGCTAGGCAAAGCGCTTGCCTAGCAAGTGCAACGTTCTGGATTCGATCCCCAGTACCAAAAAAGAAAAGACAAAAAAAATGCAGTTAAAAAAACATTAACATACTATGCATACATACACACATATACATATATATATATATATATATACATAAATACATACCCATACACATACATACATACATACTCTGGGCCAATAGCTCATGACTGTAATTCTAGCTACTCAGGAAGCTGAGATCTGGAAGATAATGGTTTGAAGACAGCCCAGGTAGAAAAGTTTGCCAGACTCCATTTTCAAAATAACCAACAAAATGTAGGGCTGATGGCAAGGCTCAAATAGTAGAACACCAGCCAATCAAACCAAAGGAGAATGTGAGGTCCTGAGTTCATACTCCAGTAAGGGTTAGGGGTGGGGGACAAAAAAATTCTGCCAAAGCAACATTAAGTGATCTTAAGTTACTCAAGAATAAAGGATTATTATTTCTCCCAGAGAAATTTAAGATAACTGGTGGACAGCCAAATGAGAGTCATTACACTTGTTTAAGTTTACCATGTGACACTTACTAACACAATACAGAAGAGTACACCTAGAAATAAGTGTGGAGTTGTTGGAAAGGTGGCCCAGTGGATACAAGGCAGAATAAAGAAGTACAGAACTGCCCTGCTTACAGTGGGGAAAAGGGGTTGGTTTTAAGAAAAAAAAATTGGTTTGCTCTTATGTTAAAACAAAACAGCAAATATAGGCATTTTAAAAAAGCAGGCAAAAATCCCAGGTGTATGATATTTAGTCAGTTCTCAAAGTAAAATATTTTTTGCAGTGAAGAAGCCAGTTGCCATTCCTAAATGGGTTCATTAGCTTAAGTTCCAATTGTCACTGCTTTTCCTTACTTCAAGATATTTTCCAAGACAGGTGCTGGTAGTGGCTCATGCCTATAATCCTAACCACCCAGGAGGCTGAGATC